GCAAAGTCAATGTCCTCGGCGTGGCTCTCCATCTCCAGGATCTGGGCGTCTGTGATGGGCAGACCCAGAGCCTGAAAAGGACAAAGATACGGTGAGAAACGTCAAACACTCTCCACACTGGACAAAACGATCACATGACTGTTTATGGCAAAAGCTAATTTTCTGTGAGAATGGTCCTGTTGCCCCATTTCCTGTTCGCTTCACCCACTGTTAAATAAAGGCAAACATGCCCCAAAAAATAAACTTAAAAAGGTCCCGTTGATGATGACATTTGCTATCCTTCCTGTCTGCTCCAGTCTTGACAAGCACATGCTGTTCTCATGAAAAGATGCTCGGTCTCCTCATTAGATTAGAGTGTTTCTACTGGGAAGCAGCAGCCATGTGATGGGATTACAAAATGCATTAAATGAGAAAATGGGCCCAACCCCTAGAAAGTACCTCGCTATGATAAAACACAGTTCAAGACCCTGAGAACAGGCTCACGCCATGCAGGCAGTGACTCAACACAACAAATCCCACTGCAGAAATCAGAAATAATTTTGAGGCCAATGCACCACAAAGACAGGGCTTGGGTTAGTAAGATCTGTTACTGTGACATTCCCTGCATGCTGTTCTCTCTCACAAACCCCACAGTGGTAGTTGCAGGCCTCACTGACTCTACCCCGGCAAACTGTAGCCCACCTCCAAGTACAGGACACACAGAAACGATAGACTGACTGGCTCCAATCAGCATGAGTCATGTGAGGCGATGCATGTGAGAGAAGGTCTGTCCCCAGTTAACCTACCTCCTACCCTTTAATCTGACATGGCTGCTTAATTTGGGAATTAAATGTCAAGAGCACCGTTAGCGTATTTTCCCCCAACCGCTGAGGCCATGATTAGACCCACACTGTGCAGCCAAGCACTGTTCACACCAAGATAAATGTTCAGAACATTATGAAGAAGATCCAAAAGTTTCCAAGAAAACCAAATCACAGGCTGACTCTTGGGGAAATGTGTATAAAATTATGAACAAGACGTGTGCAGCATTTCAGTTTGATGGAGCGGTGCAGCAACAGAAACAGTCTTGGGTTTGGAAAGTTCACTGACAACATGAAGAGTTGGAACAAGCTGATACAGAATATGTGTCAAACTGTTTACACAGTGTAGACTGGCTTTAATAACAGTAAAGCTGGGTACATATGGAGAAACAAAAGGAGAAAAGGTTGACCAAACGCTGTGGAGACAGCTTGGAGACATTATAACTCATCATCATTAGTAACCAATGTTTTTGTTTAAGAGCAATACTTGATCATTTCCACCACAAATGTTCCATAGCTCCACTCATTCCAGCACAAGAACCTCTATCTTTCATCGTTTTAAAATAAAAAATGAATAAAGTTTTGGGATTAGCGGCCAGACACAGAAAAAACAAAGTTGTCACCAGAAATTAAGAGAAGAATTTCAGCAGATCACTTGTGACTTTAGCAAATGACAGTTTGATTATAATGGTTAAATTGATCGATCAATAAATCGGTTAATTAATGCTAACAAAATGCCTAATTTTACAGCATTTTAAAGGGGATCAAACAATGTATTAATTCAACTAGGTTATCTAGGAAGGAAATATTATTTTGTCAATAATATTCTGATCAAATTCACCCCCACCTGTGTTTTCCTTTATAGTTAACATGTTCTTCCTGCTTGTTGTATGATATAAGAAGTGGACATATCTCGTTAAGGACCTGCCAACCATGAGGATTCTTGTGGTCCTCCCTAAAACTATATTTAGAGCAGGAGATTTGATATGCCTCCCTGAAGGTCGCAAACTAGTTCATAAGACTTGTGAAGCTTGACCACAAACAAAGCCTGTATGAATACAACAAGGGCTCAGCCTGTAGTTGCTACTGTCCCGCTACTATGTGCCAAACCTTCTCAGCCTTAGCTAGGTAGATCCACAGCTTCCTCCAGGTTGTGAATTTCTTCCTGTCACTGAAGTTATACGCCATTTCCTTACTGGCGTATCTGGACACCAGCGGAGAACGGTACTTCATGAACTCATCGGCTCCCTCCATGTTTGTAAGACCAGGTGGTGTCCACTAAAGCTGAGAGGTGTACCGTGCTCGTTCACCTGCACACACCAACACACACCAGTACCCCAAGTAGCCGCTTCGCCTTATAGAATCACATGGACGAGGTGACGTCATTTTACGACACTTCACATCGGCGTACGGCGTGAGGACGAAATATGACACATAACGGTGTAGGGCAGACTGGGGTAAAGGTGTTCTCCTCGTAACAAAATAACTGGGATTTTAAAGTGTTAGAAATACTACGTTATGTGAAAGTACGTCAACAAACGTTACAAAATGTATCAAAATGGGCATTTCATTCTTCAAAATGCATCAAGCAAATGTTTATTTCAGCCTTCTGTCTTTACGGGATTTCCCTCGGGTCCGTGAATGTATCTCACCATTCAGCGCACAGAACACTGGGCTACTGAACTTGTTTAGGTGCCAAGGATGAGCTCAGACTTTCGGGGTGGTTTCTATAATTTTACTGCTACGCAGGATGGATCCTTCAGAAATGATCCACACTAAGGTGACACTGCTTTGAATTCAGTGCGGTTAGATAACGTCTTGCTGCTATTATTAGGAGCTTTGATGCATTATGTAAGCTGCGTTGCCTGTTTTCTATAAATATTTACATTTATTCATGCAATATACACCCACTCCTCGCCTCACAATGTTTTCGCCTGCATGCATTATATAAATAGTTTGTGCAGCAGCTGGGGAACATCCAGCTGTAAAGAGAAGACAGCGTGAACCCC